GCCTAGCAACCCGCCTAGCAACGCTGTGATCCGTGTGTTGTTTTTTTAAATCAATCAATACTCCCACTCGTCCGTCTTCATGTCCAGGTAGTTGAGAATGTTCTGGGCGAACTTCACCGCCTGCTTCCGCGCCATCTTGGTGGTCTCGTCGCCCTGCGGGTCCACGGCGTCCAGCGTCAGCAGCTGTTTGGTCAGCAGCTCCTCCAGCATCATGTAGCTCTTGTCGGCCCGCTTGCCGTCGAAGCCCAGAACCTGGGCCTGGAGGTCCGACAGGCTCCCCAGGACCAGCCACACGGCCCGGTGCGACGGGTGCTCGCTGGGGCCCGGCTGGCGGCGGGCCAGGGCCTCGCGGAGGTCCAGGAAGGTGATGATGGCTTGGACCTCCACCACGGCGCGGCGGCGGGCCTCTCTGATGCACGGGTTCTTGGCCGTGTCCACCTGGTCCAGGTGGGTGAGGAGGCTCTGCAGCTCGGCTTTGGGCCTGAAGCTCAGATCTCCCATCACGCAGTGCCGCAGGACGCCCTCTCGCAGGTGGGAGACGTGAGCTCGCACCGCCTCGATCTCACGGATGGAGTTGTTCTGCGCCAAGTCGTATCTGAGGAAACAAACACAGAAAACTGCAGCTTCAGAAAGACGAAGATCAACTCTGAAATAACCTTCATTAGTATCAGAATCAGCACTAATGAAGCATCAGACGCATTTATAGGTCTTATTATATTAATGTTTTATTATTTTTTGAAGTAAAATGCTTTTTCAGCAGGAAACCAGTTGTGTAAAGTGACAAAGTAATAATAATTTAACTAATAAACTATAAATAAAATGTCTATTTTACGATACATTTGCCGTAAGCATCTTCGTAACTTACCACAAAATGAAATAAGAAATTAATTTGTGAGCTTAAAGCAGACTGAAAGCAAGCAGACTTGGTGAATCAGTTTGGTCCATGTTGTTCTTGAAGTGGAAGAAGAGTGTAATGTAGACTCTATTTTTAAGAGCTTTAAATGCTTAAAATACTTCATATTTCTCAATTTTAACAGCATTTGATTGTACTTACAATACAGGTACATTTAATATCAGAAAATAATACTTAAGTACAGTAAATATTAGGCACCTTAACTTCTACTTCTTCTAAGTAATTTTCCGATAAGATACTTTTACTCGAGTGTGGCTTTCAGATACTTCATCCACTGCTGCACCAAACTGAGGCCAACCAGAGAATCACAATTAATACCACTGAAATAAAAGCATCAGTCACGTAATGAGTTTAAATCTATCTGAGGTACACTTATTTTACTCATAAAACTCTGCTGTACAACGAATGTATGTTTAATCTTGAATCCTATTTTAGTCAGGCAATATTTTTTATTTAATCCGGTCTGAAAGCTGCGAGCAAATAAACATTTAAATGCATTTAAAAGGTATGAGATTTTAACCTCCGTGCAAAAAGCATAAACACATTTTCTATTCCATCAAGATGTGTTCATTTTCACTCCGTTTTTAACTCTTAATTGAAAGCCAAAACTAGGCAGGACAAATAAAAACATGTGAATGGAGTGGTGTTTAAATCAGAGCTCGAGTCTGTTCCACATAATGAAGGACCTGGTCGGTGTGTTGTTGCTGCTGATGTGAGTCTAATTCTCTCCTGACAACAACAACCGCCGGTCCCTCCTCCGACAGCGACATCAGCTCGTGTGCTCTGAGGTATAGATATTGTTTAAGTGGAACTTCCTGGTGGGAGGAAGTAGAATTAATCGTCATCAAGTCATTTTTAAGCAAAATTCAGAGACTCTCTTTACTTTCTTTGGTTTTAAACTGTCGGTTGAACCAACCTGAAGACTTCACCTTGTGGATTTTTAATGGAAACAATGTGCAGATTAACGGAAGAGAATCATTATGTGACCCACCTGCGTGTGTCCTCTCCCTCCCCCTCCAGGTCCAGGTGTTTCAGCAGCCCGTTTATCTCCTCCACCACTTGTTTCCGGTAATTTCTGATCGCCGCGTTCCCGGAAACGTCCAGAGCGTCCAGCTCCACCTGCATCTCCGTCAGGATCCGTGACAGGTGTGCGCAGCTGTCCCTCCCACTCAGTCCCATCAGCAGAGCCACCAGCTGACTGCGCGCCACGCTCACCTTCACCATCACCTGGTTGATGTGGTGCACGGCCTCGTGGGTGTCCCCCGAGAGCGGCAGGGAGAGCGTCTGCTGCTGCGTGCGGCCCTCGATCACGTCCTGCACGGCGCACAGACGCGTCAGCGCCCGGTAGCGTGCCTTGCGGAGTGGCACCCTCCCCTCGGTCTTGACCTGCGTGAGCCTCAGCACGAGCTCCTGCAGAGCGTCCACCAGCTCGTCGTTTATTTCCGCCGCCCCGCCGGATCGTTGAGGTGCCACCACGCGTTCGTCCACCAGCCGCCGCGCCTCGTTGCTCAGCTCCTCGATGGCCTGACGGGACGGATGAGTGGCGTTCTCCTCCAGGTAGCGCAGCAGCCCCTCCACCTCCTGCGCCGCCCTCTTCCGTGCGCCCTGCAGCTCCGGTTTGCCCTCCGTGTCCACCTGGTCCACGTCCAGCAGCAGCCGCGTCAGCTCGCGCTCCAGACGCTTGTAGTCCCGGTCGTTCTGCAGGCCGCTGAAGGTGCAGACCTGAGGGCCCAGAGACGCCACCTCCTTCTGGACCTCGTACAGCCGCATCATGGCAGGGTGCTGCGGGTGATACGGCTGCTGCTGCTGCTCCATCGGATGCTGCTGCTGCG